ATAATATTATATAATAGAGCAGAATTGAGTAGAATAGGATGAACGACACCTATTTCGGTTTAACTGAACTTAAAGCCTAGCCTCTACAACGGTAAACAAAGTATACTTCATGCACAGGTGCTTACCTGGAAGGATCTGACTATCATGGGGACGGCCAGGTCTGATGAAATACCAGTTCACAGTTGGCATGGGATATCCTTGGACCTCACAGATGAACGTCGCTTTTTCTCCTTCTTTGACTTCACGAGATTGAGAAATGGTAAGAATTTTCGGCTCTGTTAAGGATTTAAAATGAGAGATTGTTCATTATGGAGAGATTAAGATTGTACGAGGGCATTGCAGATAAACAGTTAAATTAAAATGTGTAATGTTCCTTCTATCTATCTATCTATCTATCAAATTAAAGAGGGCTAGTAAAACAGCTTGAACACTAGATATGACAAGAGTAGATACGCTTTAAAATAAATGATGGCCAGATCCCTACATTCTCTATACAGCTTATGCTATGGAAATTTCCCCTCACCTTCCATTCATTGTGATTCTCAGCTTTATGCAGCAGGGAGGCATTCGAAATGTCTGTCATATACGGGTTCTACGACCAAGTGTAGTTTCTTGAAAATAACTCGTTTTATAAAATGCAGAGCCTCCTACTAATGAAATGTAGTTAGTTTAATGACAAGCTTTAATTGGCATACTGAGGTTGTTATGTTGAGTGAAATATTTGGTTAAAAGAAACATGGAATGGTGTAAATAGCTTAGTGTTTCCAACCCGGTAACGGAGCGTTTCACAAAAAGAAGAATTTATTTTACCTACTTCTATCGGGCACCACGTCAAGGAAACTAGACCAAGCGCCTAACCATTATGAGAATATCCCCTAACCCTGAATATGTAAACGGAAGCGGACTACATGTGTTCGGGGAATAGAGTTTTTAGTCGAGCTAAGCTTAAAATGGTCAGCAATTATGGCATACATTGATAGTGTTTAAGGAGAGCAGCTGATCTGCTGGCCCACTGTTTTGGCATCAACTTCCGAACGCAACAACAATTCCGACTCATTCGAATATTAAGGTGCTTATTCAAAATAGCATAGCAAAATAATAGAATTTAATCAAAATTTACTAAACGTAAGGAGCAGTGACACGTAGTGTCAGAAGGACATTATGAACTGAGCAT